CAATGGGAAGGTCAAGGTCATCCAAAGGAGGTAAAGGCTCAGCAGTGGAAGGTATCTCAGTGGAACCTGGATCTGATAAAGGAACTGCAATACCTAGATCTGGATCCGCAGAAGAATTGGGGTTGGCCTGGACTGCTGATGACCGAAATCAACCTGCCTCCACCGCCTGTGATAGACTCTCAAATCCCGGCACCTCTGACACCCCTCCCATTACATCCCTCATCACTCAATGGAACAAGTAAAGGAACTTCTGATGAGTTAACCCCACACTCACTACTCTCCCCCTAAGGAGAAACCCTAGGATAATAGGGTACATCCTCGAAGAAAGTGACATCTATAGAGACAAATCTTCTCCCATAAGTGGGTTCATAGCAGCAATATCCCTTTTGAGTTTGTGCATAACCAAGAAAAATACATTTGGAGGCCTTAGGGTCAAATTAGGAATGATGAGGTCCAAGAATCTAAACCAAGCAAGTACAACCAAAGGTTTTGAGGGGAATAGTAAACAAGTATTTATCAGGTTATAGGAGGGTAAATGGAGGCTTCATGTCAAGAACCCGTGAAGGAACTCGGTTAATGAGATACGCTGCTGTAAGAATAGCATCTCCCCATAAACGAATAGGCACATTGAAGTTAAACATGATGCTTCTGCCCACCTCCAATATGTGCCTATTCTTCCTCTCAGCAACCCCATTCTGCTGTGGTGTATGAAGACAAGTACTTTGATGGATAATCCCATGGTCAAGCAAATAAGAGGCTGATTGGTTGGCAAAGTATTCTTTCGCATTATCGGATCTGAAGATTTTGATTTTGATCCCAAATTGGGTTAAAATCATCTGATGAAAGATACGGGTCAAAGCAGGAACCTCATCTCGAGAACGCATAAGGTAAACCCAAGAAAAACGGGTATAGTCATCAACAAACAACAAGAAATATCTGTACCCCCCCCCCCCATAGCAGTGATGTGGTAAGGACCCCAAACATTGGTATGTACAATATCAAAAGCACTATTACTTCTTTTATTACTCAATGAATAAGATGTTCTATAATGCTTTGCAAGCTCACGACTCTCACATCTCAAATTGGACATCTGAACGGACTCAAATAAATCAAGAAACAAACTCTTCAAAGACCGAAAAGATAAATGACCCAACCGATTATGCCAAAGCATAACCTGACTAACAAACTGGGAAACAAAAGACTTCCTATCTTCACTATCTTCCCAATGTGAACTCTCTCCAAGCAGATAGATTTTATTCGTCTCACGGCCAGTTCCAACCACCTTCCTTGTCTCCAAGTCCTAAAAAACACATCAGTCAGGAAAAAAGGTTACTGAACAATTCTGATGTTTTGTAATGCTACTGACTGAAAGTAAGTTAGTATTAAGCTTAGGAACATACAGAACTGAAGATAAGGAGATGGTATTAGACAACTTGATGTCTCCCTTGCCAGAAATTGGAACAAGAGAACCATCAGCAATGGACACTTTATCTTTGCCAGAAGATAAGTGATAGGTAGTGAACAGTGATGGCAAGCTAGTCACATGGCCAGATGCACCTGAGTCTATTACCCAACAATGTTCAGTGTTACCTAGAGCTGAAGCATGATAAGCTAAGGCCCGAGTACCTGAATGAGAAAAAGCTGATGTGGGAGATGATGGCGGCTAAGATGATTGAGCTGAATTGCCAACTTCCTTTTCCAACTGAATCAGGGCAGCCCGGACAGTAGCTAGGGTGTCTAGAGGTGTGCCTTTTGTGCCCGATGAGGAGATACAATCAGTATTAACAGCCATATTAGCATTACCCCTTTTGTTCCTGAGTTTTGTTGGGACTAAATGAGGGTGCAGCTTCCAACAGGTGTCCTTAGTATGCTTGGGTTTCTTTCACATACTAGATCCCGCTTGTCTTCCTTCTTTGACTGCTGCCAAGACTGGTGGAAAGGGCTGATGCTGCATCATAACCTTTCTCCTAGTCTCTTCACTATGCACTAARGAGTAGGCTTGTGATAGGGTCACACTGTCTCTTGTCAGTAGTTGTTGTCTCACAATATCATACTCAGGATTCAAACTAGCTAGGAACTCAAAAACCCTATTAGTCTCAACCT